GCGGCGGAATACCACCCCCTGTCGCTTGTCCTCCGAGCAAACCCTCCACTCGCCCTCCAACTCGCCCTCCAACTCAAACTCCAACTCAACCTCCACTCATCCCTCCAACTCAACCTCCTCCAGCGCCGACACCTCCCCGGGTCGCCGCGCGCTGGATCACCCCACCCGCCGCACATTATGCTAATGGTATTCAAAGCCTATCACAGTACATTACCTGCCTATCCACCCCCTCCTCCCTCCTCCCCCCCCCCACCCCCACACACACCGCCCACGCGTCTCCGTTCGCTCCTCCCGCTCGCGCCACGGACGAGCGAGGAGGGGCCTTCATCACTCACCCTGGGCGCCTCGACGGGATCGCCCGCGCAGCACCCATACATCGCGCATGCCAACCGTGCCTCGGCTGCAATGGCCGCAGACGCAACATGGTTATAATACGGCGCATAAACCGTATTTCCATACTCTCCGAGCGAAACAAAACGCCATCGCAACACGCAACCACCTTCGTAACGAGTCGCTAATACCGTCGCCCCCACGTCACCCCCATAAAAACAAACGCAGCGTAATCAAGCCTTAAGTAACCTTCGCCCACCTCCTCCTCAGGACAACCGAGAGCCACTGGGGCCACGTCACCCTCGAAACCACCCACCCAAACCCACCCACCCTCCCTCCCTCCTCCCTTCCCTCCCCCTCCTCCCCTCGTCCCCCTGGCCCTCCCCTCCCCTAATGCCCTCATTAGCCCTTGCTTGTGGGGGCTAAAGCAAAAAAAAAAAAAAAAAAAAAAAAAAAAAAAAAAAAAAAAAAAAAAGGATAACAAGCATCGAGAGGGGAGTGACTCATGACAACGCCCGAGGAGGAGGAGGGTCGGCGCAACACCAGATGTGGCCGGTGCTTCAAGGGGGTGATTCAGGGAAGCTTCATCTGCCATCCCCCTGGATACGCAATTTCGGTCACGGTTTTAGCTGGGAAAAAGAGACAGCATACACCATGATACTAAATGAGAAAAAAACATCATTCTTCGCGGACTGATCTTCCATAGCATAGGCCTACATAATCTAGATCACAAATATCTTAAAGAAATTCTCAAGTTTTTTGAAATGCGTGAAGGATTCACACTGTGGGATAAGCATAATAATTCATGGCAATTTATATATAATATGTGCGTGCATGCGTGCGTGCGTGCGTGTGCGTGTGCGTGTATGTGTGTGTGCGTGTGTGTGTGCGCGCTTTCCCCTCGTTCACTGCTTTAGACAGTCGACATTCCTCATGAAAAACGACGCTGTCAAAAGTCAAATCAAAACTGAAGTAAATCTGACCTCGCATCAGTGGTAGGCCTAGTTTAAGTACCCAGCCTAATCCTGTACACCTTTCAACCCTTCTAAAACGAACCCAATCAATATTCATAAAGCGGCCTACAGTCATCGAATCAACGTTCACATATCAAAACAAAACAAAAAAAAAAAAAAACAATGAAACACAAATTATCAAAATGTGAAGGATGGGGCGTCATCGAGTCGTCAGGGTGAAAGGGTGTTCCACGATCAGGGTCCTCCTCCTCCTCCTCCCAATCCCCTTCCTCCTCCCACCTCCTCTTCCCCTCCTCATCCCCCCTCCTCCTCTCCTCACCTCCCTCAATCCCCCTCCTCCACCTCCTCACCCCCTCCTCCCTCCTCTCCTCCTCCTCCCCCTCCTCCACCTCCTCACCCCCCTCCTCCACCTCCTCTTCCCCCTCCTCCTCCTCCTCTTCCCCCGTCACATCCGTCACTAACTTCCCTCCTTTTTTCCAAATTCCTCAACAGGAATATTCACAACTACAGCAACAAAAAAAACAATAACAACCACCTTATTCCAACGACATAAACGCCAACGACAAACGACACACACACAGACTACATAAGCCTCCCGAAGTGGCGATCTTCCCCCAACTGCTTGCTAAAGGCACCCAAAGCCGAAAGAGAATCACGGATCAACATGCTAGTGTATTATCAGTATTTTTTCTTTTTCTCTCTCTCATCTTCTTGGTGGATGTTTTGGTTCGCGAAAAGACGACACGACCACGACTGAAAGAGTGTGTGAGAGAGAGAGAGAGAGAGAGAGAGAGAGAGAGAGAGAGAGAGAGAGAGAGAGAGAGAGAGAGAGAGAGAGAGAGAGAGAGAGAGAGAGAGAGAGAGAGAGAGAGAGAGAGACAGACAGAGAGAAGAACAAGAAGACGAAGAAGAACAAGAAGCAGATGATGATGAAGAAACAGAGGAAAAAAAAGAAAAAAGGAAGACCAATAAGCAGAAGAAAAGAAGAAGCAGAGTCAGAGCACAAGCAGAAGAAAAAGAAGATCAAAGAAGTCGATGATGCAGACTAAAAAGAAGAATAAGGAGGAGATAAGAGCCAGCACGCAGATCCGTAGTTATTAGCAGCATCCTCATCGCCGGAGTAAATTAACATTTTTTCTCCTCCCCTCAGCGATAAAGTGCGAGAAGGCAAGCCCATGCCACGCCCGAGCTCTTCT